AATATAAAATATCGCGCAATTTTCTTCTTCATCAACGGTTCAACTTAAAAGTACTTTTACATAAAATTTGCCTAATTATTCAGTGAGCTGCTATTATAAATTTCACTCTTTTAAGGATTTTTATATCTAAAAATATAAAGATTTATCTAATAAAAAGTATACGCTACAATACTTAGAAGTTCAACTTTCTCTCTCTGATTTTTTTTTTACCTGAAATGTAGTCAAAAACTGCGAACAAATTATTCTTAATTATTTTTTGTTAAGTAGCCATAGCCTAAACTTTAAATTGAATATATGATAGTAGAGTGCTGGTGGCCTGTCTGGCACTAAATCTCAAGAAATTAAAAAAATTTTGTGTAGAGAGATATGTTGATATTTCTAGTAATCCCAGATGCAAATGCATGGATGTTTAATAGATGTTCGGAATACCCTTTAAACTGTAGGCCCCTGTCTGTTTAGCTCTCGTGTGCACAAGATGACCGTAGAGCGACAAACCAAAACTAGATGCATATATCACAGAAATAATTTAATAGTTTAAAAAAACTAAAAAACACGCTAAATCACACTAATCACACTAAAAAGTAAAAAAATAATTGTTAACATAAGAATAAAATTAATGACGAGAAAATTAATGTCACTGTTCTAAAAGCGTGGGGTGCTCGATATCAATCGTTATAATTTGTCACTAGTTTCATTCCGAAATGCAGAGTTAGTTTAAAAATGCCATACAAAAGCACCCCATGCTTTTAGAATAGTGACACTCATTTTCTCGTCAGTATTTTTATTCTTATGTTAACAATTATTTTTTACTTTGATTAACTCTAAAAGCGTGTTTTTTTAAACTATTAATTTATTTTTTAGTTTGATTAACTTTAAAAGCATGTTTTTTAGTGTTTTTAAACTATAATATTTAAATGAGGTCCCGGTACGGAGGACTGCAACTACAGTTTTTACAAGAATTTAATTGTGAGTAAAACAAAGGCTAAAGGCCGGGCCGGCCAAGATTCGAACAGGGAATCTCCTGAACCGTAGTCAGGAGCGTTTTCCGTTGTGCCACTGTCCCACGTAGTAGCCACTACGTGGGTTAAAATGCTCTTCATAAGTTGAAATAAAATCACTAATCCTAGCGACCCTAATCATGATAAGATAATAAACTTATCAAAATATTTTATTGTCGTCGGTCGTTGATAAGTCTACAACGTTTAAATTAAATCTGATCGCTTAAAGTAGAGCAAAATTGAGCCCAAAGAGTCAGTTACATACAAACAAACACACAAATACAGGTGAAACTAATAAAAGCGTATTAAAAACGAAAATAAAACGATATACCAAGTTTCTTAATTAAGATGGCAAATGCATCACTTTCCAGTGGATTCCATCACATGGAAACGAAAGGGCAGATCTTCTGACAAAAAAAAGGAACAGAAGTTCCTGGGCAGTGTCCTATCACTCTTGACTCTTTTAGTAGAACTATAAAGGACAAAATTAAGTCATGGCCTTATGGTCGTTTTTGTACATCAGTGAATTATTATTTTAAACCAAATAAAACGTCTGGGAAACAATCGCTGATGACAAGAAAAAATTTAGTGAAAAAACTCGCAAAGAGGCTGTTACCAATTTTGGATTAAGAACTGGACACGACTGCTTGGGCAAACATCTCGCCAAAATCTGATATATGTGTTTTATGTAAGACAAAGAAATTGAATAAGCCCCATCTACTTGTTTGTTTGGGACTGGACTCTAACTTACAACACAATGGTAATAAGCGTACTCATTGCTGGAGGGTCAGAGGATCTGATCATACGGACTTTCATTATAGTGCTTCTAGCTTTTTATACTTTTATCCTGCGGCCTGATGGCCGAATAACTAGTACTCTGGCGCTCAGAGCCGCAGGTTTCGGATTTAAGTCCCGGCGGTACCATGGATATTTGTAGTGGTTTGGAATTAACTTTAAATCGTAGGTTCCGGCCTAATATGATCGTAGAGCGTTGTGGGGGTAGTGTTACTTACATACGTAGCATATCTTCAAGGTACACGGGCCCTCTGGGTAGTTCTAAATGAGTAACTATGTTCGTTAGTGCAGTCCACACGACATGCCTTCTTCAAGGCTATTTTGTATTGGGCTGCTCACAGAGACATGGTCAATACTACGCAGTCCTCGACGCAATTAAAAAAATTCCTTAAAACATTTAATTTGTTTAAATTGTTTTTTGTTAAAAATGTCTATTTTTTTCCCTTTGTCGTTTTGATTTGCTTGTATGTTCTGTTTGTTTCTAAGATAAATGACCAAATTTGTATGGATTTAGTTTTAATAAAGTCACAGGTAACAACACCACCATTTTTTTTTAATAAATAAGAAATTTTTTTTTCTTTTATTGCTGACAACAAATGGCATCAGCCATTTCTAATCATTTTTTATTTTATTTTGACGAAAAAGATTTACGACGACGAGGACTGACGTCACAGTTCTTTACGACTTCGTATTCAAATTGCTATTCCATCTTTTACGACCACGAAATTTTCCTAGACTGAATTTTCGTTCGTCGCGGCAATTCGATTCTTTGCTTTTACATGGATTATTGCATGGCATATATGGTTTTTATTTTTATTCTTCAGAAGTTTTGCATTCAAGCTTGAGACCGTTTACCCTTTTTGTAAATATTTCTTTAAAAATTTAATGCTCTGAAATCGAGTATTTGCTACATACAGAGAATGTAGTGTGCAGGTTGGCCAACCAGATTTAAACTGGGTGTGGCTGGGTTGAGATACTTGAGGCACATATTGGAGAACTCGCAGCTTTATTGACACACTCACAAACACCACACATATATAATTAGAGACAAAATATTTAACACATTTAAAGCAGATAATTATAGATTCTTAGAAGGACTCCACTTCTAAGCCGAAAATCCGAAACTCGGCTACGCGTAAGGTGCGCGAAATATTCTTTCTCTCAGGGTGAGAGTCTGCAAGTGAGCTAATGCGCCGGGATACATTAAATGTATTTTCTCTCAGGATGAGAGACTATAAATTAAACCTTTCTCATGGGGAGTGCAGGTTGCGCTGTAATTGTGCAGGTAATTCCGCAGGTGAGAGTCTTGAGGTAGACTAACCATTTGTCCTGAAGGTCACAAGGGGTGCTCTTGCCAGTATGTAGGAGGTAGTATGGTTGCAAAAATAATTAAACGAAATACCTAAACTAAAGTCAATTATAAATTCATGATGGAGAATTTATTCATTAACCCTTTATTTCTTTAAATGCAAACTAAATAAAGGCTTAAGTATCTTTAGTCGCCAAACTGGAATCATATAATCTAGTGTGTATTTAAAATAAAAAAAATAATTTGATAATTTTTTTATGGAAGTTTAAAAAATTTTAAACTATATTCTCTATAAGGGTTATATAAAAAAAATGTAATATTTTTTAAATTATATAGTTTTGTTAAAATATTTAACTTTATTTATTTCATTTAAAAACATAGAATTATAATAATGCTACCCATTCTATATCTATTAAAATGTTCGTAATTAAGTAGAGATTTTTTTAGTCGTTGTTGTCTTTATTTCAACATGGAATATATTGCAAAATTTTTTAAAAGTTGATGTTATTGAAATGCTTAAAACCACATTATCTTCATATAATAAAATTTTTCTTTTCATGTGAAATGAATATTTATTGAAAAAGTAACGTCCTAAAATGTCTTTGTTCATTCTTTTGCCCAAAATTCAGCAAAACTGGAGCAAATGACAGTTTTTATATCAAATTTCTTCAAATCTGACCAACAATTTTGTCATAAAAATTCCCTACTGTCAATTATTACTACCATTAAGCACAACTAACTTTAACATGAAGAAAATATCGCGGTTTATAGGTAATAAGCTCTTAAATGTTGCCATCTACAGCTAAGAAAAAAAATGTGAAGAAAATTGCGAAAATTAGGTGGCTACAAAAGTGAAAAGTAAATAAAACTCAGTGTTGCGAGAAATTCAAATTTTATTTCTCGTCAGAGCTTACTTTCGCTGTTCATTGTATTTGAAAAAAAGTTAGAAAAATAAGTTAAAATCTTTCATCTTCGTAAATCATCCATGAAATTAGTTGCGTTTTTGATATCAAATGTAACAATATTTGGGATCAGGTGCATTTAATAGGAAAAAAAACTATATGATTGTCGATGTATAAAACAGTTTGTTGTTTTATCTTACTCTTATGTATGAGTAATTAATATGCACATTTGCATCTTTAAATAAATTCTATGAAATATTTATGATTTTTTGATTATGCTTAAGAGAGTGTTGGAAAAGACATTGTGTGAAAGAAGGTAGGTTTGGTTTGTTGCTCTACGGTCATTTTTTGCACACTTTAGACTAATTAAACCGGGCTCTACAGTTTAACTTGTAGTGTACTTACTAACAATTTTACTTTAACTTGTAGTGTACTTTTGTTGTGTAACTTACTTGTGTATTAAGAACCACCAACGGACAAACATCCATGCCACCGCCAGGATTCTAATCTGAAGCCTGTGGTACTAAGCGAAAGAAGGTTGGAGCGATCAGGTAACTTTGCATATGACAGGGATAGACTAGGAATACATTAGCTGGAAAATCTTTCCGTTACGCACGGAAAGAGGGTGAAAATTTTCCTGAGGATTGTAGTTCAAAGTTGTGGTATTATTTAAATTATCTACAAATTTAGTTAATAAAAAAATGTGATTAAACCGCGAGGGCACAATGAGGATTCAGCAAGTTGGTAGTCCTCAAATTAGTAATTGAAGTCATTAAAACGCTGTTAGAATGCTGTAGATGAAAATAGAAGATAAAAATATCCCTGAGGGCTGTTTGCTTTAAGTTCTGGTATTATTTAAGTTAATTGCGAAATTAGTTTATAACCAAAAATGGAGTAAAATTGCGTGGGAACGGAGAGTCGGTAGAGTCGGAGAGTCGGTAGTCCTCAAATTAGTAATTGAAGTCACTAAAATACTTACCGGATATATATACCCCAACGGCCGTACCATGCTGAATATACCGGTTCTCGTTAGATCACCGAAGTCAAGAGCATCATTGGGCGCGGTCAGTACTTGGGTGGGTGACCACCTGGGAACACCGCGTGCCGTTGGCATTCACAAATTTGGGACCTGAATGGCCGAGTGTCTAGCGCTCTGGCGCTCGGTGCCACAGGTTTCGGGTTCGAATCCCGGCGGTGCCATGGATGTTTGTAGTGGTTCGGAATCCACTTTAAGCCGTAGGTCCCGGTCTCATATGACTGTAAGAGCGTCACGGAGCAAAAGTCAGGCTTCTACCTACGGGTGCTCCATCACAACAGAAGCTGCTTCCTTCCCCTTCAATCATGAGTATGTATGGGCTCGTGGGCTTGGCCTAGAAATATTTGCCAAGTGGGATAAGAAACAACGAATCAACATATACTTACGACTTAATATACTTGCTACTATACTTACCACTAAATATTTCTTATCGGCTACATAAATCAATAATTTCCTTATCAACATTACTAACATAAAATGTTTTTATCATCACCATATACACTAATTCGCTAAATTTTAGATTTACTTTCCCAAAAACTAACATTAATTCTAACATTTGAAATACACAAGAATTATGTTGATCCTGAACTATTAAAAAAACAACACTCGATACATAGTAATACACATTTATAATGTTTTATGCAAGCAGAATTCATTAATAATAAAGCTTCGCAGAATAATGATTGATATAAAGATTTTTGTAACAATTATTTAAATTTTAAAAAAATGGTATGTATAAATTTCCTAATTATTTATATATTTATTATTGTTATTTAATTTTATTATTAATTCTTGTCCTTATACTTCACAAATTTTAATGCACATTGATGTTATTTTTGTAAATATAACAAAATAAAAACAGTGAAATTTTCGATGAGAAAGAATGGGAAAAATAACAGTTTTTTCAAGAGCTTGTGTAAATATTAATATTATTTATGAATTCAATAAAATTGTTATACTTTAAACCATTTCTTTAATTTTTACTTTAAAACCAACAAAAACATTTACTAACATTTGTTGCTGCTTAAAGTTTATCTAAAAAATTGTTGTTGGTTTTTTAATCTGCTTTCTTAAGATGTTTTATTTTTAAAATTTAAAAGCATTAGAAGGAGAAACTATTTTTATTAGCAAGCAAAATCAATCATTTGCGAGTAAAATTCAACACTTTAAGAAAACATTCATACGAACGTTTCTAAGCAATGTTTTTATAAATAACAAAATATGAAAATACTAATAAAGTAATTTCAAGATTTTATATTTCATGTTATTTCCAGGGGTCTCCAAACTACGGCCCGCGGGCCAAATCCGGCCCGCCGGAAGATTCTATCCGGCCCGCGGATAGAATTTTAATTTTCCGGTCCGAGGCAAATTAAAAGAAATATAAATATATACATTATATATCCATCTCCTTTTCTACTTTGATTAAATATTATTTTTCGTCTTCTTTTTTTTCAAAGAACTGATAATCTTTTTACTTTCTCTATTTTTGTTCTACAAAACATAAATCAACGGAAATAGCAAGCACAGACAGCTTTCAATCGGAAAGGATTTGCAAGTTGAATTAATTGAGTTACATTCTAACAATCATCTCAATCAGTTGTTTCTAAATATGCCAAAGTTAGAGTTTTACAAATCAATATCGAAAGTAAATTTCCCAAATTCAATATCTCACGGCCAGAAAATCAGTGCTGTGTTTGCTTCATCTCATACATGTGAACAAGTGTTTTCAACTATGAATCTTGGAAAAAATTATTTCAGAAGTAGACTGACAGATGAGCATTTGTGATTCCTTATAGAGAGCTTCTCACTTCGAACCTCCCTATAAGGAACTTTTAAAAATGAAATCTCGATTTCATTCTGCTCATTAACATATTAAAATTGTAATACTTGTATATTGTTTTTAAAATTTTAGCAAAATTTTTCTTGGCCAGCCAAACTTTTTTTTTCCGATTTTTGGCCCGCGACCGAAAAAGTTTGGAGACCCCTGTTTTATGCAATGATTATTATTATAAAATAAATTGTGTTTAATTACTTGAAATTATCACCCGAAAATTAAGACGTGTGTAATAAACGTGTTTTTTATGAACATATAAATATCGATTTCGAATATGTTTGCATGCGTTTCTAGTTTCTAATTTACTAAAAAAAAAAATGGAGTGTATATTTATTTGTAAATAGATTTATGTCTATAATTTCGTATAATTTGAAGTAAACAAACGCACATGTGTCAAAGTAAAAGTTTTTATAAACTTTTTTTATTTTCATTATATATCAGGGATTTTATAAGGAAAAAAAAATTTAAAAACTTGTTTAAGTACTTCTAACTAAGTATAGTAATTAAGTATTATATTAAGATACTTGTAAAAAAATATTAAAACCATATCTTTAAATAATTGAAACATACTTCAATTATTTAAAGATATAGTTAGATAGGTTTGGATGGTTAGGTATGGTTAGAAGGATTAGATTGGCTTGGTATGAGCTTGTAAAATTGATTCGGCTGAGAATGTTGTAGGCGCACTAGCTCTCACTGTCAATCACTTGCATTACATTGCATAAACTGAAGTGAAGAGGCTTTAGACATTGTGTTTGTGTTAATACGTGTACGTAAAGAAAATAAAACATTTGCCACAAGTACTATAGCATCACATTTTAATACAAAAATCTTTTACTTAAATTGTTATTACTAACACTTTTTATTTATTAGCTTTTAATCCAAAGTTCTCAACAAAAAGACTTTCAATACATCTGAAAACAAAATAGTATAAAAATTTTAAAAACAACCCTTTCTTTAAAGAAACTTCTCGTGAAAACAAATGGAATCTTTAAATTTGTTTAAAAAAGTCGAGTTCACGCACCTTACCAATATCAACAAATAATCGGGGAATACCTTTAAACTGTGTAACTTAAGAGCTGAAAAAAAAGAAGTGAAATGCCAGACGATAGTAAATATAGGAAAAGGATCTTAACTTCAAAGATATATTTTTTTTTATTTCGCTCCAACTCTTATCGTCTTTTAATTTTTCTTTTACATTTTTTTGGAACGAAAGTTTGTTGCTGAGATGGTGACCTCATCCTTTGGCAAACCTTCACGGCCGATATGCAAGGCGAGAGACGGGGGTGGGGGTGGGGGGATCTCTTGAACTTGAAGAAAAGAGGACAATGTGTTCCTGCTCTTGTCTCGGCATATAAAAGAGTCAAGAACAAAATAAACACAAACCCTTTCTTGTTTTCGGAAGGAGGGGGAGGAAAAGAAACACACTCCTTTCGGTTCTTTAAACACACACACATACATACATATATATATATATATAGGCGTGTAATATGTTTTTCAATAGAATATTTTTCAAAAAGTGTTCTCATAATTTTGCAATTTTACTTACACAAAATTACTTTGATTAATTTATTTAAAAAGCATGTTTATTTATTTAAATCGCAACCAATATTTTTAAAGAGTTTTGGCCTCGAGTCTCGGCGGGCCATGATGCCATACGGCTGACATCCCTACATAAAAAGAAAATCTCTGCCAGTAGGCAGACGGCTATGGTCCAACATGGACTGTAGTGCGGGGTGTTAGTTAGTCTAAAAGAAAATTATCATTTGAAAGGCGTCAGAGTTCTTCTTTATGTCAGTTGTTCTCATTTTCATTTTGGAAAATAAAAAAATACTGAATTAAACTAAATTTATACTTTCTCGGCAAGAGAAATTTCTGTTACGTCCTCTTTTTTTTATTATTTTGTATATAATGAAAGTTTTAAAGTTAATTAATATTATATATTTTTATATATATTATTATATTTATTATAAATATTATTATATTTTTTTTTTCTCAAAATTAGAATATTAAACACCATACTACTGTGCCCAAAAAGTAAGACCAATTAATTATTGTTTTTCTCCAAAACTCTTTACTTATTCTTCCAAATTTACTTCATCGCCTTCAAAATAATCCCTTCCGGACACAATGCACTTATACCAACTTTCTTTTCCAATCCTCAATGCACGCTAAAAAGTCATCGGCAGGGATGGCCTTCAAAGCACGCGCCGATTCACGTTGAATCTCTTCAATCGACTCAAAACGGTGTCCCCGGAGAATTGACCGATCCTTTTGAAATTCCAACATCATCAGCAAGGTCTCTAATTGTAAATCTATGGTTTGTAAGCACCAAGTCTTTAATGTTTTGGACGTGAGCTTCGTCGATTGAGGTTGACGGTCGACCAGAGGTCTCCTCGTCTTCAACACATTCTCTGCCTTCTTTGAATTGTTTATACCCCTTCTAAACATTTCTTTCCGATATAGGAATGCTCACTGAATGCATTCTGCAACATTGTACATATTGTACAAAAAATTGTACATAATGGAATAATTACATACATAATTACATAGTTGACATATTGGAACATATTACATACGTTTTTTAATGAAATATTTTTAAAAAAGTATTCCCATATTTTTATAATTTTACTTACATAAAACTACTTTCATTAATTTATTTAAAAAGCTTGCTGATTTTTTTACATAGCAATGAATATTATATAATATAGCAATAATTTAGGCATGTGCCTATGAATATGTATATCTATTTGTTAACAGTTTTAGAAAGAATTTTATACGTTTACCATAATGCAATTGAACAGTATGATTTTCATTTAGTACTGTAGGATATGTAAAATGCATTATACCAATGACTGTGGTATGCAAGTTGTGCAATTGGTTCGTAACTTGGTGGGGTTGGAAGACATACTTCAGACACCGGTTGGAGAACACACAGCATTATTAGCATATACACAAACACCACACACATACTACTGTGTTCAAAAAGTAAGACCAATTTTCAATTTAAAATTCCCGGGCCTTATGGAATTTCAATTTTTTCCTTTTTTAGGTTGCTGACATTGTCCGTGACCTCTGTGTGAAATTTGGCGTCAAAATATTCATTAGTGTTTGAGTTACGCTTGGATTTGTGAGACGCTAAAACTGATTCCGATGATTTTTAAAATGTCTGAATTAATTGAGCAAAGAACTTGCATTCAATTTTGTTTGCGAAACGTATAGAATGGGGCAGAAGGCTT